TAAGAAATACCACTTGTAAATCAATAGTCAGGTAGCATTAAGTCAGGTAGCATTATTCACAAGAGTTATAAGGAACAAACAACCCAATAGCCATCAGCACACAATGGGGTAAGTAAATTATGATATAAACATGTAAAGGAGTATTATTCAGTGGTAAGAGAAACAACATTTGCATGCGTGTGACATGTAGATACAGAAAGCACACCAACTAGTATAAGCCAGACACACAGGACAAATGTTTTCACTCCATGTAAGTACCAAAAACAGCGAATTAAACACAGGAAAACAGAGGGAGTTGCCGCTCAGTAGGACCAACAGTTTGGAAATAGACTGCACAACACTGAATGCACCTAACCTAGCAGCACTGAATTGCACAGTTCAAGTGGCTGAATGTGTCTATGTGTGCCACAGAATGTAAATTGTGTAGAGTATTACAGCTACTCTATGATCTCTGGGGACTGCTCTTTTGGTATGTGTGTCTTTGTGAAAACCCCTTCTGTTGAGTATGAGCTGGACTCAGTGACCTATTTTTTTTTTTTTCCTTGTTTTTGGTTTGGAGACAGGTAGGCCTGGCTGTCCTGGAACTCACTCTGTATGCCTGGATGGCCTTAAGCTTAGAGCTCCACCTGTCACTGCCTCCCAAGTACTGGGATTAAAAGAAAGCGTGTGTCACCACCATTAGACTAGTGACCCATTTCTAACACACAAGGAAAGGAGAGGCAAGTGGCTGAGGGACTTAGAATCTTGGTTATAAGGAAACAGCAGTGTTGCTTTCTTTGCGGTCACTTATATGGGTAAGTCAGGTTTGACACTGCGATGCCATCAAGAGCCACAAACACATCCACATGTGGGGTGCCTGTCAACACCCACATAAGCTCACCTAAAGCAGTCCCTGCAGCACAGTCAAGCTCTAATGACAACATTCATCTGGACCCCAAGTCAAAACACCCAGCCTACCTGATTTTGACTCAGAAACTGGCAGTTTGCCTAAGGTATGAAATAACTTGGGAAAATGTTAAATCAAGGGTTCCAGGGGTTACAACAAACAATCACAAAATGCTGACATTTTCAACACCTGGGTTATTATATACAAGTCTATCATTTATACTAAAACAAATGTTCCATGTTAATCTATACATTATGAGTAAGGCACAGAAAGAGAAAATGGGGGTTGGAGGGGATAGTTGGGCAGTTAGGTACACTGTTTATTTAAAATTAAAGGAAGCAGTTGATAATGAGACTACCTGAACCAAATCTCATTGGCATTAAAAGCTTTTATTGGGAATATCATCCACAATCTATACAAGTTATGTACAAGGCATGAAAATGGAAAACAGCACAAAATACAATTGAGGTATAAGCTAAGAGCACAGTATGTCATGTTTCAATAAATATAATCCAAAATTTGTAAACTAAGTAACCAGATAGATGAATCTTATTTTTTTTTTTAGTAAAACCATAGAAAATATTTATTTCACGTGAGGTAGAGGACAGTTTTGTGTGTCATGTAATGCAACCAACCACAGCAATTTTAATCATAAAACTATACACATTGGCAAAATTACCAGTTGAATTATGTTCAATATAGTCAATTTGCTTCAGTAGTTGCAGAAGGGACCATTCACTTACTGCCTTCACAGGTTAGAAACTGAAGAATAATTGAAGACTATTACACTGCCTTAAAATTGCCAATATAAGTACTTCCAGCAGAAAAGCTAAAGGCAACTATATTTATCACAAATTCTAACAACTCAAACAATGTCCTAGATTTAACAATTATTTTAAGAGGGTGTTTTCATGAGAATTAAGTGTGCTGTGCTTTCTTTATTTTCAAGTGAGGTATCTATATTGAAGAAAAAAATCTTATAAATTTCTTTTATACTAAACTAACTTTAAACACTATTTTGTTTTCTGGGCTTAATTTTAAAATGTTTTATATTTGATCACTTCCTAATTCCAAAACAGTAACACTATATACATGACATTTAATTCTATTTCTAAACAAGCTTCAAATTGTATTATGTATTTTTAAAAGCCATCTAAGTGGGAAGATTAAAAAAGACTGTCCTTTTAAACAAGATACAATACAAAATACCCATATATGTTTTTCTTCCAATAGTGGAAATGCTTAAGTATCTTACGCTAGAAAAAGAAAAAATTAAGTTCTGTTTAAATATCTCAGTTACACAAGGGTAATATATAATGCAGCAGTTCATATCATGTATTGCTGATTGCTTCCATGGAACCGTTAACAAGTACATCCAAGAGCAGGAGAGATGTACAATGTGAACAGTTTGTCATCAGTTGTAATGCCCTGCGCCCTAAGGATTAAATTAGCACAATGGACAAATAAAAACATTCCTCCCCACCCACTCAGAGCATAACATACTGAGCACACCTTCCAGAAGCAGATAAAAAACCCTTCATGAGCAGCTTTGAAGCTGTTGCTAGGGAAAGACCTCCGCACATTTCTTACTACTTTTGTTTCCTTTTCATTTTGCTTTTCTGCAAACAAGCCACAGACACACAAAGAAACTGGTTGTTCTGGTGTAACTTTCAAAGGCTACAGGAACCTTCGAACAAAGTGGTACTCACTGTTTCACCTACTTCAGTCTGCTTTATAATTCACTATGTACACATGAATTTTTTCATTTCTCCTTCCCACCCCACCCCTGTACAAAAGATTTTACATATAAACAGGTTATATATTAAATGTTATAAAATTAGCTCAAGAAGCATAAAACATCCTTATCCTCAAAAACACAAGAAATTCAAGCGAAAGAATATATTCCAAAAATATTAAAGCTCAAGCCAAATCTAAGTTGTTGGTCGAATCTTTTGGTGTTCAAAGTCTTGGCTGTGATTGGCAGGTGGTTTCAGAGTCTCCTTGACAGAGGCAGGAGCTCCCAGACTTGGCCCACAGAGAGACTATCACCACCAGAGCAAGCATCACTTACTATAAAAGCTAACACCACCATCTTTCCTCCATTTGCAAACTCTACAATCCACTCCTAAACACAGCTTTTCATTGTAAATGGTCTCATTTTTCCCTAAACATAATATGAAGTTTGAGGAACTATCTGCTTGCCTAGTGAACTTACCACAAGACCTAACACCAAAATAAACTTTAAGATAGCAACCAGCACACAAAAAGAGCATGCATAAAGTAAGTTTCATATGAAAATTTAAGCAGAGGTCACTTTGGGAGTTTTACAGAATTTCAATTGTTTTCAAGCTACATGGTGCAATGTAACTAAAAGTTACTCTCAACAGCAATAGGTATAATATTTACAGTTGATTAAAAATTATTTTAAGGGAAGTTCAGACAGAAAACTATGGCACATCCTTTCATCTTCTGGGAAGTAGACTATGCTAAACTATGTCATGAGGCAAGTTTCATTGAAAGACTAGAAAAATTACATTTGCTATAGTAGCACGGAAGTACAAGTTTTGAGGAAGTCAGAAAAATAAATGGTGTAAGTTTGCCTCCCACATAGCCAAGCTGTGCTATAACTGACAACTAAGCTAAAGCTATTTTACAAATGCCTGTGGTTTTTCTTTCTCCAAATCTAAATAAAATGGCATATATGGTCCCTGTGCAATTTAACATGTTTCTCCTCAAAGAGGTTACAAAAGTCAACACATTAAATTATAAAGCATAGTAAATCCTCTTTTAGGTCACAATATATTTAGAAAGCAAACTCCCTTTTGGAAAGCAGAAAAGTTGCTTTTAGATGAATCATAAACAAAATAGGACTATAAGCAGGTACGTGATAATACCACTGGGGCAATGACAGCCATAACTCTACGTTATTCGTAAGCATAGCTATCAAGTCACTTAATGTAGTGACATAAGACAGCTTGGGAAACATAAAACATGGCGATGATGCTACTGCCACTTTCAGGAAATCTCCCTAAACACACACACACACACACACACACACACACACACACACACACACACACACAGAGCCAGGTGTGATGGGGCCCACACCTATAAACCCAACACTTGGGAGGCAGAGGCCACAAGAACCCTGCAATTTGGAGGGTAAACAAAACAAAAAGAAAAATACAATGCTCACTGAGAATTTTCTCCAGTAAATATCAAGCCAAACATCAACTAAGATAAAATTCTCTGGTAAAAATGTCAGACTTTAATGTGCAAAAAAATAAAAACAAAAGTGCAGAGGCTGCCCTTCCCCAAATCACGGAATTCATTTGTCACCTAAAAATTATCTAAAATTCCTGCTAGCAGCAGATACTTTAATTATGGATTATTAACCTATCAGATATTATTAGCTGACTGTAAATTCCTGATTTTAAGATTAAAGAGTCATAATGGTCCATTCGTGCAAGTTTTAAGATAACATTTAAACATATAAAAGTCCAAAATAACCTTCAAGATATTTATATTTTATAATTTAAAAGAAAAAATCCATTATATAAATTTCAGTGAGACCTTTATAAGACTACATACAAAAACTGTACAAGAGGGTTATGAATTACATAGGAACCAATGTACATCAGTGGAGTCCATTTTCCTCATGAAGTACTTTCACAGCACTATTACCAAAAGTTCAGTAATCATTTTAATTTTCTGAAGTCACACACACATATTTAGATATAGCCACTCTTAAATGAAAGACAAATTCCAGCCGCTTCTTGTGTGCAACATCAGGGCACAGCAATGCACACTCCCCCCACTGCATGTTGGGGTGGTGGTACTATCATTCCATCAGCAAAACTGCTCTTAGGAGGAACCTTACTCCACAACCTGAACAAACTAAAAACAGACATGGTATATAAGGAGATTCAGCCGGGCGTTGGTGGTACACACCTTTAATCCCAGCACTTGGGAGGCAGAGGCAGACGGATCTGAGTTTGAGGCCAGCAAGATCTACAGAGTGAGTTCCAGGACAGCCAGGACTGTTACACAGAGAAAACC